AGGGAGGGAGGGAGGGAGGGAGGGAGGGAGGGAGGGAGGGAGGGAGGGAGGAAATAAGTCAGTAAGCAACAGTCCTTCTTTCATGGTCTCTGCTCCAGTTCCTGCCTTGGCTTCCCTGGATGACGGGCAAGCTCTAACAAGCCCAGTTCCACCCTCTCCCACTGCACGATGCTTCCAGCCTGTGCTTCACAGAAGCAGAGAAGGAAACTAGGGCCCTGACCCAGCATCACTTTATCCGTGACTATCACACAGGCCATGAAGTAATTGTCAACTCTACAGTTAGAGGTTGAGGGGTCAGTCCTGGCTGCCCAGCCTGACCACCTGATTCTGATCCCTGGAACCCATGACTCCGACAAATTGTCCTCTGACTCCTACATGTGCACACACACACACACATACACACACACACACGAAAAACAACAACAACAAAATCCAAACAAACCCCAAAGCCTTGCTTTTCCTACTCCCTATTTCTGCTTTCTACCTGCCCTGCCCAACTCTCAGGAAAAAGGATAGGTGGAAAAAACAGGAGCAGAAGGAGTGAAAGGGAACTGAAGTAAACAACCAATATTCAAAATATGTAAACATGTTATATAAAAAGACATATATATATAATATATATACACACACACACACACAAAGCCAAAAAACAAAACCCAAAGAAAAGAGATAAATAGGCAACTGATAGCCCAAACCCCAGTGGTCAGTAAACATACGAAATGTTGATTTATTTTTTATTTTTTATTTTTTTAGGATCTTTAGAAAATATAAATAGAGGCATGGAGATGGTTGAGTGGGTGAAGATGCTTGCAGTGTAAGCTTATTGACCTCAGTTCTGTTCCTGGAACCCACTGAAGAAAGAACAGACTCCCAGTAGCTGTTCAGGGGCACTCTCCTCATACCCCTCACACCCCATAATAATAAATAGAACATATAAAGAAAATTCATGATAGGATTCAATTTCCCAGTGTCAGATGGGTAGTCGGGACCAGCATGGTGTGTCTGAAAGAGGATGTGGGGACATTTGAGGGCAGACCTCATGGGACTTGAGGGGGGAGCAGCTGGGGATTACCCTTGGGTTTGCTGTGTTGCCTGAAGGAGTGGTGTGGATCATGATCAGAAAGTGGATCCTCGCGGCTGATGGATGACCAAGAGGCTTAGACATGACCAGTCTCTGACGGCAGAAAGGAATTGCTGCAAAGAGCTGAGTCACGGCTCGGGATTTCACACACTGGATCATGGCTTTGTTGTTCCCAGGCTGTGCCAGGCCACTGTTCAACAGCTCAACAGCCTTGGGAACATTTCGGGCCAAATCTACTTTTCAGGGACTCCTTTCATTTCTAGCAGCCTCCCTAGCTGCCCAGCTGGGCTGGGTTTGAGCCCCACAGGAACAGACAATTGCCGATGGTACAGGCCAACATCCTTCTGTTTTCTGTTCCCTTATTACAGGATGTGCTGTCCTGGCAGGGTCTGGTGGGAGATGAGGAAGAGGCCTGTGGGCTTCCTTGCAAGGAACGATTTACAAGTCAGAATGAGTAAAACTCAAAGACAAGAGTGTGCTGCTCTGGAGAGCGGCAGGTAAAGGATTAGTGTGAAGCCAAAGGAGCTGATGGAAAGGACAGACCATTTGAAAGGAGAAATAAGCCTGGAAATCAGGTGGAATGCTGGGATCTTTGTGAATGGTTACCCCCTCCTCTTTCATCCACGTATCATCCCAAATCTACGAATGCCCTAGGGTAACCACAGAGTTAGCCAGGGAAGATCCTTGGAGGGAGAAGCATGAGTATATATACTGTTAACCTGCAAAAGCAGATTTATTTATTAAATAAATAGGCAAATAAGGTTGAACCTACACTCACTCAAGTGGTAGACATATTTTACCACTGAGCCAGTCCCAAGCAGAGGACTTCCCCTCTCTACCCAAGACAGGGTTTCTCTGTGTAGCCCTGGCTGTCTTGTGACTTGCTTTGTAGTTCAGGCTGGCCTCGAACTTAGAGATCTTCCTGCCTCTGTCTCCCAGGAGCTGGGATTATAAAGGCATGTGTCACCACATCCAGCTTTTTTAAAAAATGATTTTATTCTTTTAAAAAAATTTATATGCATTGGTACATAGATAAATTTTATATGCATATATTATGTCTGTGTGAGGGTGTTGGATTCCCAGGAACTGGAATTACAGACAGTTGTGAGTTGTCATGTGGGTGCTGGGATTTGAACCCAAGTCCTCTGGAAGGGTAGTCAGTGATCTTAACCATTGAGCCATCTAGCCTTTAAAGCAATCAGACTTCTAACCATGCTTGGCTGGTGGTTCAAATTCCAGGTCTCCAGTTAAACTTTCTATCTTTGCCACCTTGATCAAAGTAATTTAAAACTTTATCCTCTCCTTTGAGCCAAGACAGTAAGAGGAATTAAACCTAATGTTTTATGTGAGCTGAGTATTTACTCTGTTGCTGGTCAGTAGTCTCTAGTTGACTCTCTCCATGAACCCCACTGTCTCTGACCACTTACCAGTGGTCCCATGTCCAGCCAAGGACACAAACAATGGACCAACCTGGTTGCTATTTTGCATAAAATGAGATTAAATTCTGTTTGTTTATAGTAATAATAAATAATAATAATAATAATAATAATAATAAAATAGCCAGTAGTAGTTGAAAGGAATGACCAGATTGTTCCTGGGTACAATCAACTTACCTTTTCTAATTTCACTATGTTAGCTGTTAGTTCTTGGCAGAGGACTTCTACATTTAACTGTACTTGTGATCCCAGGCCGGATGGGACTGCCTGCCTGTAAGGAAAAAGAGAAGCACCATTCATGGAATGAATACAGGTTAAGTTTGAACAGAAGACTCGGCTAGGAGAGAGGACCAGCATCATTTTGCCTATGACTATCACAAAGGCACAGCAGTAATCCTCAATTCTAGGCCAGATCTTTAGGGGCCAGTTCTGAGTTTAGCTGACTCTCTCTTAAGCTACTTTTCTTCAGGAGCCTTGGCTTAAACATAAAACTCCGATAACTGTTCTCAGGCACACGGTTTCTTAGAGTCTTTGTTTAGATTTTAACACTGTCACCATTCCCCATGGCAGCTATGTGTGCATGAAGGACTGCTGGTCTCAGCCATGGGAGAAAGAGCCATTTACACTAGAGTGTTTGGAAAGCCAGGGAGTATCTTTACCTACATAGTTAAGTTTCCACACAACCATGGGTCTCCTCCTCCAATTCTTTCCTTAAGACTTGTTGTGTAAATATACAAATATAACTCATCATATCAATTGATTCTTTATGGCTGGAATCCTATACTGCAATACTGTACCAATTAATACCATTCCTATAGAGTAAGAACATGTTCCAGGAAAGATGGTCTACTATTACTTCTTATATTTCCATGGTCTGCATCATCTGTAGTTTTCTTGGCTGTGAATCTTTAAAATAATATTTATTTATTTTTAAAGATTTATTTTTATTTTACATGTATGAGTGTTTTGTATGCATGTATGTCTGTGTATCATATGCATAAAGTGCCCTTGGAGGCCAGAAGAGGGTACTGGACACCCATGGATGGTTGTGAGCTGCCATGTGGGTGCCGAAAATCAAACCTATGTTTCCTGCTAGAGCAGCAGCCAGGCTTTTAACAGCTGAGCCAGCTCTTCAGCCGCTCTTGCTCTTGGTTAGGATTTAATCTCAGTGGTTCAGTTTTTGGATCTCAGTAACTGGTCTGATTTAGTTTCTATCTGGTTCATTTTTGAAACAGAGGCACTTAGAAAATCACTGATGGGGGGCTGGGGAGATGGCTCAGTGGTTAAGAGCACTGACTGCACTTCCAGAGGTTCTGAGTTCAAATCCCAGCAACCACATGGTGGCTCACAACCATCTGTAATGAGATCTGATGCCCTCTTCTGGTGTGTCTGAAGACAGCTACAGTGTATTCATATATAATAAATAAATAAATAAATAAATAAATAAATAAATCTTTAAAAAAAAAAAGAAAATCACTGATGATGACGTATATCTTAAGAAAGCTGTCTATTATGAACACATCATATGTTTATAAATCATTAACTCATGGAAATAAGATTAAAATCCTTGAGTTTCGTTTCTAGTTCAGGGGACTTGAGGTTAAGAGAACTGACACAGCAACAGGAGATTCTGAGGGACAGAGATATTTTTACCACCAGGCATGGAGCCAGAGTAGAGGAGTAGGCTCCTGAGGAGCCTGCAACCTGCTGACAACACTAGCCAAATGTATGGGCTCAAGAGGAAGGCTCTTCAGAGAGTGCAGTGTCAGGTTACACATGTGGATTTAGTTACCTGCCTCATTCTGAACAAAGGGCCCAGGGAAAATCAGGGTCTGGGATGACACTGTATCAACATATCAACAGTCCTACCTTTCACTCACATCCTCTGACCTTGTATGTGGTGTGTGTGTGTTTCATTTTTCTATGTAGATTAGTTTTTTAGATTGTATTTCCTCTTGGGATGATCTCAAGAGGAGAATGAACATTTCATCAGTCAGAATTCTCTCCTCTGTACTGCTAACTTAATTATATGGTGCTAAAACATGAGGTATATTTTTCTAATAAAACCAACTCCTAAGAGGATAGGAATTAACATTCTACAATCATTTGGAGTCACCTCTACGACGAAAAGAGAGTTGCATTAACATTTTGAACATGATGAAAGATCAAGGGTAGGGTCTATGGATCTGTTCTAAACTGTTTGTTAGGATTCTGTACTCACTTATTATTCAAATATACATTTATGGCTCCCAAATGACCTGCATGTAAGCATACACATAAACCTTAGAACAAAGCCTAGAGGGTAATTTACACAGACAGTGAAGAAGGGCCTAGACTGAGATATGACAGAATAGAAAGCATAGATTCCAGACAAGTGTCACCAGTGTCACCTGGGAAGCCCCACTGCAGCCTTATTCCTTCAGGAACTCTGGGATGGGTCCCATGTGCGACTTTAAGCAGCCCTTTAGTGGACTTTGATGTCCACTGAGGTATGAGAACCCCTGGAGAACTGGGAGCCCTGTGTCTCTGCAGTTTACAGATCTATGTTTGAACCCTGGTGTCATTATAAATTATAAGACACTAAGTATTCCTGACTCTCACTTTGCCTGGGTGCATTCCTCAGTACCTATATGGTGGCTAATAGCTATTTGTAACTCCAGTTCCAGGAAATCTGACCCCTTTCTTCTGACTTCTGATACACATACATGTATGCAGGCAAAACACTCATATACATAAAATGAATCTACATTTTTTAAAATTGAGTAATCGTTGTCTTATAAAGCTGTGAAAAAAACATAATGAAGGAAATTCAGATTTATATATGTATGTATCCATTCTATTTTATTTATTTATATTTATTATTTTGAGGCAGAGTCTCTCTCTATAGTTCTGACTGTCCAGGAACTCACTATATAGACCAGGCTGGCCTTGACCTCACAGAGATCCACCTGTCTCTGCCTCTTGAGTGCTGGGATTAAAGGTGTTCACCACTACACCAGTATGTATGTGTGTGTGTGTATATATATATATATATATATATATATATATATATATATATATATACAATATGTATATTTAATCTTATGTGTATAAGTGAATGCATGTACAGTATGTGTATAGCCCATGGAGGCCAAAAGAGGGTGTTGAATTCTCTAAACTAGAGTACAGATGGTTGTGAGCAGCAATGTGGCCCTGGGAAGAAAATCCAGACCCTCTGGAAGAGCAGCCAGTGCTCTTAACCACTGAGCCATCTCTCCAACCCTTGTACCCATTTTAATAGGGTCTCTAGGAAGTGGTAGATATTCTTTAAAAGGAATCTCTCTTGCTAAAAGTATGATTTCAGTCAATGTATAAAAATCGTCATGAAAACAGACTTAAAGGACAGGCATGTTGAAAGTTGTAGAGGAATTTTAATTCAGTAACATGGCTGCTTTGGTAAGGGATCTAATGACCTTCTAGGTGTGTGGTGATCAGGATAGAATGACATAAATCCTTCTGGAATACAGACATGCCCTTAATATACACCTTTAATCTCAAACAATTAGTTTGTAGAAATTAATTTGTAGAAATTAGTTTCTAGAAGAAAGTAGCCATATTTGAAAGTGACGTCTAATTGAGGGAAAAAAACTTGAAAAACTTGATAGAATGAGTCAGAGATAGGATATGCCCAACTCTCATGAGAAGAGACAGGAAAGAGATGACTTAAGAGTGGAGAGAGAGAGAGAGAGAGAGAGAGAGAGAGAGAGAGAGAGAGAGAGAGAGAGAG